ATCAGATCTCATTAGGGGTTCGAAGGAATTTACTTGCTTAAGGTTACGGGTGAGAGGGACGAGACGATCGGAAACGATGGAGCAATCGCACTGTACATCTAGAAGTTGGACGAGCAATTTGAATCTGAAAAGATCAGTGCTGTCGATGTGGAATCTCAACTCTGCTAGTAGAGCGTCAGCTATACAAACGAGTGGGCAGCGTCCATGCGTGGGTTCGAATCCCAAATGGGCTGCTAATTTTTGAATAATTTCAACATGAAACAATAATAATAATAATTGTCATGCAGCATGCTTACGTTCTACTTGTGAGGTCCCGGGTTCGATCCCCAGGTGGGTTGATGTATCCACACTGCTGATGAGATCCAACCAGGTCGAAACAGCTGTAGAGTGTTTCCTAGCTTTTCAGTTCATGCTATACACGACGAATTCCTTCTGTTATACATATATATATACATATATATATCCGGCTTTCGGGTAATCTTGCTAACAACAAAATAAGTAGAATAACAGAACATGAAAAGTTGGGATAAATAGTAGAGTAAAAAGGAGTCAAATAGTGAAGTTGAATAATGAGAGTACCAATTTTTTGTCACGTAAATATTTCAAATCATAGCAAATGAAACCAATGTGTTATCTGCGGAAAAAACGAATGGGAATGAAAATAACCTTCGATATAAGGCAATTGTTTTGTAGCTGTCAGTGTTTTGTTCACTTCACCGTTATCTTATAATCTCAGTATGTTATGCATTTTTTCTCAAGAAACTTTTCTTTGTTCCTTCCTGTTTTGTTGATACAACAGTCTGCATCCTTGGCATATATAGATATATTCTAAATTTTTTGTTGAAACTGCACTTATAGATGATAAATTAACAGCATGTCCGTATAAATGACTGATAAATGTGTTTTTAGCTTATAGAATACAGAACATCGTTGTTTGATTTCGAGTAGCAAGCTTGGATTAGCACATCCGATTGTTCACTGGCACCAGGCACTTTTGATGGTCTTTGGTGTGGGTTTCAATCCTTGGGAGATCGTTAATTCCCCACGAGGTAAATGCATTCAAATACAATGGAAATGTTTGTGATAACCGACAAAGTCCTGGCTCGAATGCTCGCGGTTCGAGTTCTGACAGGGACACAAAAGGTCCGCGCACAGCTGACGAGTCTCAAACAGGACTAAACGGCTGTCCAGTGCTTTTTGTCGGTTTTTTACCTACATTTCCATCGCATCGTGATTTGATCTTTTCTCCCAGTGATTTGATTTTCACTCTCCCCGCTTCTGCTCCGAAGATTCCAAGCAACCTGAAACTGTTGCGGAACAAGACAAAAGTCCGTTTACCGGTCCAACTGAGGTATTGGAAGATGGAGGTCCAGCCGAACCGATCTCACGGAGTGCGGTATTACGAAACTTTTCGGTTGTCGCCGATGCCGTTCCAGGTTCTGCAACTGTTGTTTCAGATACCACGATGCTCGGGAATTCCATAACGCCAAGTAAGTGTGACCGACAAGTTTTTTGTCGGTCGGATACAACTTACATTTCAGCCCAAAATTTAGCTATGAAAACCTTTTTGCTACAATAGAATAGGATTATCAAAAAGTCGATAGAAAGAAACGAAGAATGGAAGGGATAGTTTAGCCGACGGGGTTCTCACGCAACGCCTCCGGCACATTCAATTTACGAATCAAAATACAAATTAACGAAGGTAATCAGAACTCACGCTAAACGTTCATATTCGAGTGGATAAATGTGTATGAGTAAAATATTCGATGGCAATAATCACATCAAAGATGTTGTTGTTGATGATTATGATGAATATGATGACAACAGTTATCTGAGTGATACTGCTTTTATTTGTTACCCAAAACTAAGCATGACATTTTCTAGAATAACTACCGTTTGTTGAAACAGCTTGAAAATGCCGACGCGGGTAACCCTTTGTCCAGTTCAATGAA